GATACCTTGAACCAGGCTAGGTAGAACATCCTTTGGAGTGTGTAAGTGCGTGCAAGCTCTGTAGGAAAGCCACATTCATCATTAACTGAAATGGGATAAAAAGCAGTGCAGCTCTCACACTCATTAAGCTTTCCCAGTTGGAAATGACAATAGAAGATTTTCCTGCTTTGTGCAAAAGGTACATTGTGCGATACTATGCAGTTCTTTGGAATGAAAATCAAGACAGATGGGAGAAGAAACACCAGCATTTTTTCCCAGTAAAGTAAGCAATCAGAATTAGCTCTGACACCGGCTGATACTTATGGTGTTGTACCTCCCATCCTTTCTGTAACACTAAGGATCCATTTGGGGAATTTTAAATGTTCTGTTGGCAAGACCTAATAATCTATTACTAACACAATAATTCTAATCCTTCTAGTCACTGAGCAGCCTAATAAGGAGACACGATGAAAATAGTCCTCAAGGATTCCTGGGTTTTACCTTGCTACTGCTGTCAGTGCAAACATAGGCTAGACGCCATAGATGCCACCTTCCATTCTTCACACCAGGGCTTTGTTCAACAGTCTGTATGGTGCTGCTGTTTCCAACAACTGCTTAATATCTAAAGTCTCTTTCTTGTTTGAGCAACTTGCTAAATTTTGTAAAAAAAAACAGAAAGGGAAAATGTATACCCCTTCTAAAAATGCCAAATGTGAAATGTTTGTGGCTTAAGCAGAGTGATTTATTTCAAAGTTAAAACTTGGTCTGTACTTGGCAAGGGCTGCCAAGGTAGCTGATAACCACTGAAGTTGTACTGGTGAGTTTCTTAAAGGAAGATGATGCTTATAAGAAAACTAGTAATTTACTAATATCAATTCAGTCAGTTCCTTGGACAGAGAAAGTTATGCTGGCAAGATGGCCATATCTACTTAAGAGTCTTTGGAAGCTTAGCTGTGACAATCAGAAGGTAAAAAATACAATCAAGTTCCTTACCATCACCAGATGTGCTATGCCTGCACAATAAGGCATAGCACAAGGCATATCAGGCCTCAGAAAAGCGTGTGCATTTGAAAAATAGAAAAATAGGCTTTGAAGTGAGGAGCACTCAGTGAAGATGAACGGGCTGAGGTCACATGTTTTATTGTTTTAGTCCATCTGACTTGCAGAACAAACGATGCAGCCAAGTGCTGATTTACAGGGGGAAGGTTATCTTCCTGACCAATAAGCACCAAATGTTTTGTTTTTGAGAAACAAAATCAGATTCTATGGAACATAAAATCCTTGGAACCTGCTGCTGATTTCCTGCCTTCAGGAATTTCTTTTTGCAATTGGCAGAAGCTTAAAACAGTAAGATTGTGCAGTTAAGGAAGATTTTCACAGCAATGTCTTCCTAATGCTAAGTATGACAGAGTTGCAAAACGTGCCACAGAGAAAATGATTAAGTGTAGTTGATTCCTTGTTTAATCTAACAGGTTTTCAAACTCACTTAATTTAATTATTGTCATTCTCTTGCACAAGTTTTTACTTGCATGTTGGCTAAGGTCAGCTACAGGTGAGAAACTGGGTCCAACTAAGTACCAACCAGAAGCCATTATGAAAATATGCCAAAGTGGCAAATCCATATATGGATTTCTGAACTCCACAATGTACAGAACTGCTCTGATAGCCTTAGTTGTCTAGAAAATTGATGTTTTAATGGTAATTTAACATTTAAGCTATCACAACCCAATATGTCACAGGGGAAAAAAAAAAGTCTCTAGCACATTTACTCCATAAAAGCTTTAGGGTGGGTAGATCCACAAAGAGACTTTACCCTTCAATGGGCATGACAGATTTTCAAAATACCAAAAGCCTTCTAACCTGCCAAGGATCAAAAAATTCTTTGGCACCCACATTTCTGCCCATGGTTGTTTGAGGTATCTTAGCGTAGTGCAGTACCTTAGAACTAAGCCCACTGAAGCATGAGGACACAGATGTATCTTACATGGAGAATGTCTCAGTTTATCAAATGTGTTAATAGTCACATCACCTTGCTGAATGGTGGGTAACTACTCAGCCCAATTTGAAGAGAATAATTCTTCCTCTTGTCGGTAGAGTGTTTTAGCCATTGGTCTCCTGGACATACTGGGGTGGGAAAGCCTTGTGTCTTTCGCAGAAACAGTGCCACCTATATCTATAATTAAATAGACACTGGAGCAGGGATTTGGATCTACCTGTGCCTCTTACCAGCCAAATGTGCACTGCAGGATAAAATTCTTCTCATCTGTCTATGACCCAATTAATATTTAATTGTTTTATGCAAAATGAAACAGGAGAAGCAGGGTTCTTTTCAGAACAGCATGCTCAGGGCTTTTCCTAAGAGAATGGGAACCTGGTTCATGTCTCCTATGCTCAGTCTGACAAAGTGTCCCACACCCAAAATCGGTGCCCTGACTATTGAGCTGTTGTAGAACATCCCATGATTTCTCATAAAAGGACTGAGAAGCTTTAGTTCCTAATTCAAAAACAGAGTTCCCAGCTGAGAATTGAAGTCAGAGATACAAGCCTTGCCCTGCACAATTAACCTTGGCCGAGTCTTGATGAATCTAAGTCAGTAACTAAGTTGTGTGCAACTGCACTTCATTGGACTACGGCCTCATTTTATCTGCTTGTGTTGCTGTAACTTTGTAAGTTTGTTGTGATTTAGATTGCTGTTTGGCATGTGACCAGTGTTGTATTTGAAAAACAAGACTTGCTCCAAGAAAGCCCAAGAGAACAAGAGATCATAGTTGAAAGATTTTTTGGGAAAAATTCTTGTTTGTCTGGCTACAGTGATCATTGTTCAACTGATAAGATGATTTAAACTAAACAATTCTACATTAGTTAACAGTTCTATTGCAATACTTATTGTATAAGAAAAGTCTTCCCTAAAGTGGATGCCTCTCAATAAATAGATAAATAAAGTGAAGTTAATTTTTGCTTAGACAACCAGCCCCAAAATCGGGGACCACTTCTACCTCATTTTGAGAGCTTTAAGGTAAGTCTGTACTGTTGGCCATTTGACACATCACTTTGAGTAAGAAAATTTGTCAAGGTGTTCTTTCTCTCCCACAGCTGTTTCTAAAAGGAAAAATTCTTGATACTACATGTTCTGAGCCCATAATAGCAAATATTACTGGAAAGTTATAAAAGTCTTAAAAAAAGCAAACTAAGTTTAGCTCAATTATTTATTAGCCCTTTCCTAGAGAAAGGTGTCAACAGACAATATTTGAGATTCACATAGTATTTGATTAGACTGATTGATTGTACCCTACAGCTGAGGATATTAACATTCATTAGTCTTACTTACTGGTCATTAGTACTGCCTTTAATATCAAGTAAAGAATAAATAGAAATGCTAATAAAAATTCATCAAGTCTTGTGGTTTCCAGTGAATTAAATCTGTTGTTTTAAGTCCGACAACACAAACATTTGTTATAAACATTTCAAAAATCCTTTAATCAATCCTTTATACCTTAACTCTTTCAAACTTAAGCAGGCTAAGAAAGATTCTTGCATATGCAACATAATAAAGTGCTAATTGCAAGTTTTTTACTAACAGACTGACTAACACACTCCTATGAAATTCCGCAGAATGGTTAAATCTTGTTGCATATAAAATGACTAATCACAATTAATCTATATTAAAGAAAAGTCCAATTTCTGTATTATATTTTGACAGCAAATAAGAAAAAAGCCGTAAGAAGACTAAGAAATCATGCAAAGTTTATTAAGTTTCATTTTAATTGATCATTTTAATGGTACACAAAATGTAACAAAATTAAATGTCTATTAGTGATCATTGTCCCAAGAATGCACTTTACTCCCATTAATTTACTTACATGATTTCAGTGGAAGCATATTTAGAGTGCAGCTGTAAATATTTTTAATCTTTGACTTTTTTTTTTACAGGAGCCTCTAAATGTTATTGATCCCAGTTTGATGGATCTAAATGGTCCAAGTGAAGATGCACTAGAATGGGATGAAACTGACATAGGTAATAAGCTGATCAGTATTCATGAAGAGTTAAGTGATCCTGATCAGGAACTCCAGAAGGATGATCCCAGCCAGAAACCTGCTTCAGGAGAATGCGGTGATAACAATGTGAATGAAGATGAAAGTATCAGTGATCATGGAAGTCCTCTTTATTGTCCGAGCATTACTTCCCCTCCAAATCCTCAAATCTATCAGGTCTATAGTCTTCATAATATTGAATTATCAGAAAAAAAACACATGCCTTTTTTAAAAAAAACATCCAAACTCTCCAGTGTAACACAGTCTAACATTTTAAACAAAAGTCTTAGTAAAGACTCGTCATTTTCATCTACCAAATCCCTGCCAGACCTAATAGGGGGGACCACATTGGCAAAACCATATAACTATATGTATCAGAGTGGAAACATAAGCAGGCATTCTGAGAGTGAGAGTGGGATAGTGAGTGAATGTGATACAGAAACTACGAATAATTCAGAAATTTTTTTGCTAAATGATGTAGAAAGCACTCAGAGTAATCCTGAAATTGGGCATGCAGAAACTCAAGTGGATGATATAGTCGATGTAATAAAACAAAAAATAAAGCAAGTTGAAGAAGACCATGCTAGTCTCTCAGATGATTTCCAGTTGGCACCTTCTGCATGTTGTGGAAGTGAAAATGATGAGGATTTGGACAGCATTACCATGTGTAACCCTGTTTGTCTAGAAGAATTGCAAGGAAAACATGACATCTTTACATTTTATGATTACTCATATCTTCAAGGCTCCAGATTCAAATTACCAGTGATAATGAAACAATCACAAATTGAAAAAACACATACAGAGGGCAGTTTGTTTAATGGCTTCAGTTTTGATAAAATACCTGGTACATCTGAACATAAGCCTGGAGACTCACAGCCAGATGGGTTTATTCATGACCATACTCTGGCAAGTATCCCTGGAGAATCAGATCCCAATTCTTGTAAATCTGCAGAAACTGTAAGAAAATTAACTGTTACAGAGAATGCAAGGCAGGTTTCAACTTTATCTCGTAGTTCTTCATTAGAATCTCTGTCTGTAGTAGGTGATTTGTTCAGCTCAGGTATTTTTAAAAGTGGGGATGGTCTTCAGCGAAGTACTTCTTTGGAGAGCTGGCTGACATCCTACAAAAGCAACGAAGATCTTTTTAGTCATCATGGCTCAGGAGACATAAGTGCAAGCAGTGATTCTGTTGGAGAACTCAGCAAAAGGACATTAGATCTTTTGAATCGCTTAGAGAATATCCAGAGTCCTTTAGATCAAAAGATAAAGCGCAGCATCTCTGATATAACACTCCAAAGTAGCTCTCAAAAAATGTCTTTAAATGGACAGCTGTCTCTAGATATTGCATCCTCAATCAATGAAGACTCAGCAGCTTCTCTCACTGAACTCAGCAGCAGTGAGGATCTTTCTCTCTGCTCTGAAGACATTGTGCTGCACAGAAATAAAATACCAGATTCAAATGCATCATTTAGAAAACATCTTAATAGATCTGTAGCTGATGAGAGTGATGTCAATGTCAGCATGATTGTTAATGTCTCCTGCACTTCTGCTTGTACTGATGATGAAGATGACAGTGATTTGCTTTCAAGTTCCACCCTTACCTTAACTGAGGAAGAGCTAGGTATCAAAGATGAAGATGATGACTCCAGTATAGCAACTGATGAGGATATTTATGAAGAATGCAATTTAATTTCAGGACTTGATTATATAAAAAATGAACTCCAAACTTGGATTAGACCAAAATTTTCTTTGACAAGGGAAAAGAGAAAAAGTAACCTCAGTGATGAAATTCAGCGCAGTAAAGAAGTTAGTAATGAGACATCAAAAGCCACAGATACATTAAGCATTGAAACACTATTGAATGGTTCAGTACAGAAAATATCAGAAAATAATGGCAATAGTAAGAATATACGTGATCGTGAAAAAGGGACGAAGAGTCACCTGATGAAAGATATCTCACAGGTTGTGAAGGATCAGCTTGTGGATGATATGGAGAATGGCAATGTTGAAAATACTCTTGGCAGTCAAAAGGAAGGTCTTGTTAGAACATCAGCAACTCCCAAAACTCATGCATCACTTGGTGTCAGAGAAGCTGAAAATGAGTGTTGTGTCTGTGAAGCATTTACAGACAGTTCAGATGATTCACACATGGATGGCAAGGAGGCTGTTCTGTTGTCAGATGGATCCAGAAACCCTCCAAAAGAATGTCAAAGTCATCTTCAGCCTGATTGTCACTCTGTTGTTTCCTCTCCTGCTAAAAAGCCTTGTCTTGAATCTTCCTCAGAAATGAATTGTGAAGACATACATGGTACAGCTTTACAAACATCCTTACCTAATGTTCAGCAATATAGACTGAGCACTACTGAAAAATCTACTGATTGCTGTACAGCCTTGAAATCCAATGAAGCAGAATGCGACTCCTCAGCCAATGGTGCTGATTTGTGCTGTAACTGTGAATCTGCTGCTTTTGAGAAAAGAAATGTGGAGGATGGCTCAGTACACAATTTTGTGAAGGAGATAATAGACATGGCATCAACAGCTTTGAAAAGTAAGACGCAACCTGAATGTGAGTCATCTGCCCCAGCGTCATTAGCACAGATCAAGGAAAAAGTGTTAGAACACTCCCATAGACCCATTCAGCTAAGAAAGGGGGACTTCTATTCTTATCTTTCACTTTCTTCTCATGATAGTGACTGTGGAGAGGTAATCAAATACATAGAGGAAAAAAGCAGCACTCCTGTGCCACTGGACTTCACAGAAGACCGAGAAAATATTGAATGCTTTTTTGAAGCCTGTCCTGAGGAAGAACGTGTTGAGCAGCAGCAGTCAGTTTCAAATGGTACTCCTGAAGCACAGGTTGAGCAGCAGCAACCTATTTCTAACGCTATTTGTGAAACATCTCCAGAGTCAGTAGGTGAAGAGACTCAAGAGTCACTAGAAGTTAAAACATCTAAAGGTAGGGCTTTAGCTTTCTTATGTGATGATGACAATGATCTAAACATCCCCAATCCTAACAAACAAACTGCATCAAACAATTTGAAAAATGCTGATGATTATTTGCTTATTTCAGATGGGCAAACTGAACATTTGGAAAATAATTCTCCAGAGCTTAGCACTAAAAAGAGTAGTACAGGAAAATCACCTGGAACTGAAGAGCCCAAAGGATGCATTGCTGCTTCTAAAGAGGCATCAGCTGTAGAATTTCAGTTAAAGCCTGGCCACTCACAGAAAAAGGATGTTTTGCATCAGAACAGGAAAGCTCTTACTTGTGAAGAAAATCTGCTGACTCTTCATAAGGAAAGACATATAAATATGCACAGATAGAATGTAACCCTCTCCAGGCACGTACATTATCCTAAAACCAGGTATGTACTCTAGAAGTTGCACATTCATTTTTTTACATTGTTTTGCCTTTTTTTTTTTTAACATTTTGTACAATGAAGGGAGATGAATCACCATCCAGGGATTCTGTTTTATGAAGTAGTATATAATTTGGTTTGATTACACTATAATCCCAATTTACGTGCCACTGGCCAATACATGCAGTGAATACTAACTGCTTCTTGCCCTGTGGCTTTGCTCTGGCTGGAACTTTTCTGGGACAAATCTGCCACCTTGCAGAACTTGGGAATTCTTCAAAAGTAATATTTGTATATCAGCCTCCTCTTCCTTCTACTCATTGATCCCCTTCTCCACAGTCATCTGGCCTTATGAGGTGTTCAATAGCACTTGATGAAGCTGAACTTCTGGTTTTACAAGAATTTGGGGTGATTAGCGAGTTGGAGTTCTACAGTATTTCCAGATGAGCCATGAAGAATGGCTAAGCAGACTGGAGAATAAGTTGAGAATAATCAGTCATCTTTTGATGTCAGTTTACCATGATTCAAGTTCAGTGAGCCATTATTAAGAACACAATTATTACAACACAGTGTTAGGCCAAAAGTTGAGGCTACCAAAATAAGAAATCTTTGTGACATCATTAAAGCATATAATGTGAGGTTAATGTAGAATAAAGACCTAAATCCCAAAGCAGATGGAAACTGATAGCTACACAGCGGTACTGGAAGCTTCAGTTCTATTTTGTGGTAAGCATTTTGAAACAGAAGTAAGATGATGGAATCTAAGATGAAAAAGTGGCTCTGATCTCTTCCAAAGTTTGAAAGTGCTTCAAATCTGGAGTTTCTGACGTCACAGAAGTGTCTAACAGTAAACTGCACTGTTAACAACAAAAGAAGATCTACAAAGCAAATTCTGGATCAGATCCTAGTGTGTAGCAGTGCTGCTTTGAGTCTCACTAGTTGTTTGGTGACCCAAAAGCCAGCATAGCTGTACGAGAATGCAATTAGTCTTTGGAAACATTCCTCCGGTAGACCAGAGCAGGCATGGCAACTCTGAATGCCACTGCAATTCCAAATGCCGCTGCTCGCCAGAAGCTGTAGCAAGGGAATTTCCAATAAGACACAAGGCTCAGCATGCGACCAGGTTTCCCTGGGAAGTTCTGAAATCTCCATCCTTGGAGATTTTCAGAATTCAAGTGGATGTGACCCTGAATAATCTGATCTACTTTTGAAAACATCCTTCCTTTGAGCAGGAGTGTGGACCAGATGATGTTCAAGTTTCCTTCCAACCTAAGTTATTCTGTGATTCTATGATGTTGCTAGGAGAAAAGGCTGTTATTCATCACTGCCCATGAAAACCACTAGTATTCTCCTATTGCAAGTTATTTAGCTGTAGCAGAGGAACTGGGTCTGTTTATACAAAATAGATTGCTTTGCTGCTATTAGATATTTAACTTTGGCATTTCCTGGTTTTTGCTATATTATATTACTATGCTTTGAGCTTTTCTTTTGCACATATTGACAGTTTACCCAGCATTCACGCATTCACATATGTATAAATATGTCTAGCAAAGTCTTTAGGTTATGACAGCAATATTCTACAGCCTGACACTATCTCTTTCGATGCCTATCTATTTGAATAATGCCTTGTCTTGGAACCATCATAGGAAAGAGGATATTTCTTGAATGGCTTTGAAATGGCGGCTTTGAAATGGCCTATCATGACCTGTTGATTGCCAATTATGTTAATACTTGGACACATCCAAACAACTGGAGAAGCAATGGAAATCAACTGGGAATTACAAAACTCATAGATGATACTATATATTCTAGAATTACATTAAAAACATTATGTGCATATGGAAGCCTCTATTTGGAAAATGAGATGATTAAAAAAGTCTGAGGTTGATAAGTGATAATTATGTAAACATAAGCTTTTCCTAAATTACTGTTTTATTCATTTTCCTATTTTTCACACATTTTTATAATATTAATTTGAGGAAGAATACCTACTGTAGTGAATGTGATTTTATTCTTGTTCTTATTCTTTCACTGATGAAGATAATAACATGACTTTTCAATTCATTAGCACTTTTCCTCTGAGGATCTCAAAATACTGTATAAAATTTCCCTCACTCTTCAGAACCTCATAGTTACTTCCATGGTAGCCAGCTGTGTTTTTCATAAGACAGGGATATGACAATATGCAGTTAAAAATATGTAAGGACTAAGATTGGACATAGAGGATAAAGATATTATTAAATGCCCCACAATGCAATAAAATGCAACGCAGAGTCTCTAGGCAACAACTTGATATGGTTGTGTTATAGTTTTAATTTTTGCCCAGGGGTTGACAAATATTTTAAAAGTAACAGAGTCCTTCACACTACATCCCACTTTTTACATTTAGGAAGATATTACTGGTTATTGACTGATACATACAACATCGCTTCCATGGAAATCATGTACTGTATTATTCCCAGTAGTAAAGCCCTAGGATACATATAGTTTATCTCTGGTACATCAAAAAATGAAAATATGAGCTGCTGGATTTGGTTTCACTGAAGTCTGAGCTCCCTTCCCCCATTCACAAGCTTGGTGCTTTAACTTCATCTCTCATGCTATGGGGAATGAATTACAGAAGCAATCTATCCTAATTTGTTAACTTATTCAAATAACAGTTATTATACTTAACTATGCTAAAGATTATCTTTTTGGTGGCAGATTGTTTATTTTTTGATGAGGCTAATTACTGATTTTCCAAAGGTAATTTACATTTATTA